GACGCTGCAGGTCCAGAATGATGCCGGCGCCAAGGCCACCCTTAAGGAGTTCAAGGAGAAGCTAGCCACCGACGAGAAGCACCAAAGTGCCATCAGGACTCTCAGAAAGGACGTGGAGAGTTTTGCTTCCCTCTTCCCTCTGCCTGGCCTGCCTGACTTCTAAAGGGGCTGCCCGCACAGCCCCATACAGCAGAGCCAGGCGGAAGGGAGGGCATCTTCAAGAAGCCACTTACTTGGGGCTAGAGAACAGCTCCAGCAGGGACCACATCATCCCTTTTGAATCTTCATGTATTTTCTTCACAAATCATTTAGACTACTTTCTGGAACAGGTTATGAGGGGGGTTTAATTTAAACTGTACTTTCACACAGCAGCCCCTAATTACTCTGGGAAAAATGAAATACTGTTTAGCCATTTAGCCTTAATTCATTTGGATAGACAATGGTGAAAGGCTCTTAGAAAATGATTAGAACAACTTTCTCTTTTTTGGTAGTTACTGGGCTCCCCAACTTGCTGTGGTAACACAAGGTTAATAGCTTATAAAAGCTGCCCATTCTTCATTCTTACCTGATGGGAGTGTCAAAAGGAAAACTGAATTTTCATCACTCTCAACTCAAGGAAAATGCTTCAGACTCTTCTGCTGTGTGCTTTAAACCAGAATCCCAAGTTAGACGAGCCCATACAAGGTGCCAAGTAAGTGGGAAGGCGGCTGTCAGCAGCTGTGAAGGGGTATTGCCCAGTAGCTTCCTTTGTCTTTCTTCCCCCGGGGCTGGTAATTGAGATCTGAAATGGCCCAGTACCATCCCCTCTATCGCCTTCCTGCCCACATACACTCACCATCCCAGGTTTGAGAGTCAGCTAGCCAACTCCCTCCTGTAACCAGGAAATCAAACGTCACCTTCCCATAGAAATTTTCTCACAAAGCTGAAATGCAAAATTTGGATGACTATAAGTTTTTAATCACAGAATGTCTACAGGAATTATAGTTTTAAAAAATACAACCAGTTTTTTTTATATTTCAAAAATACCTGAACTCAAATAAATTAATATTTTTTAAAGTACACTTTTCATACTATTTATTTGGCATTTTACTCTGGTTAAACTGTTGTTCAGCAACACCTCTAATGGTACCACATACATCAGTTGAATGACTCCCATCGGCCACTTGTGAGAATTGCTGCTACTTGCATGGTTACATGGTCACAACTGGGACAGACAGACATGCAATAAAAAAGTAACAGTACTAATTCATCCCAGACTGCTTTTCACTGCAGCTTTGATGGCAAGATTTCTTTCAATTCAACCTCACATCCACTAACCCAGAGGACAAGTCTTTGGCCTTCCTATGGCCATCTGTGGTCTTGGGCCCTGCCACTGCGGCAGCCACCAGATGTGCCTGGCTCCAGAGCTCAGTCTGCCACTTGGGAGCTGCTATGCTACCAAAACATCTAACTCAGGGCTTGCCTCTTAGAGGTTTCTAAGACCCCTACTACATCTAGCATGAAGGGGAGTCCACAGGGTTGAGGCCCCACGCCTATAGGTGGATTTGCTGCAATGTGTTCCATCATCCCATTCATCTGTCTTCTTCCTGTGGCTTCAACCAAACCTTATTCCAATATGCCAATTACATGAGTGCACAGAAGGGCGTGCCAGACTATCAGCCGAACTGTGTGCTTTCCAGCCACAAGTAGAAATACACTGTTTTTTGCTTGTGCACCCTGTTAAAGAGCCCAGTTTTCACTTTCTATCAAGTGGTGGGAGAAAGCCAGTCAGCTTAACGATTTACTTCAGGGGGTGGGAGATGAAAGAGATGGAGACACCTAATTGCTTCCAGAGATGCCAGGTCTTTCCAAGGCTGGACATGCCCACCGTGAGATGTGCGACCAGCCCTGCAGGCAGACAACAGCATCATGCCAGGAGCTGGCTGGACATGTACCACTGGGGCTTAGGAAGGGCATCATTTGGTCAGTGTGAGTAGACATGGGCAGTCAGTGCATGCAAGATGTCCACTGAGCAGAATGTGCTCTTTACCTGGAACACCACTGCGAGGGCTGCAGCAGCCTTGGCACAAGCGGGAGGAGGAAGCCATCAGCCTCTGGGATTTTGAGATGAGATTTCTGGAGGGCTGACTCACAAGTGTTTTGAACAGCCACTGGGTGGGGATGGCAGATGAGCTACTGTGGGCCATTCCTAATCCGGGTGCAATGTGTGTAATTGTATAAAGATTACAACTTCTAACATCCCAAATTCCCACCCGGACAGAGTGCTCCAAGGAGACAGGACTGACGCAGGAGCTCAGGCTAGAGTGACCATGTCACATAGACTAGAAAAGGCCTTCGGCTAAAACGAATGACTAAAACAGGGCTTCGAAAGGTCAACAGTGGATCATTGCGCATCTGATCAGCTTTTTAAAAACTTGGACTGCTTTTGAAAAGGGGCAGAGGGGAGAGGGTGGGGATAATGGTTCGTAGGTGAAGTTGAAACCAAGCTCTGACAAGAAGAGTTTAGTGCCTGGGCCTTCAATATGATAGCTCTGACTAAAGAAGTCACCGGGGACATTAATATCTATTTTCTGGGAAGTGTTTTTAGATGCTTTACTATGGCTTACTAACGTATTACTAAAGGAAAACCCTCAAATGAAAATTCTTGCGTAGGTCTCTCCACCACTAACAGTTTTAGATGAAAAACTTTTCCAGTAGGTTCAGGTTTTCCAAAGTGGAGCAGGGCTGGGAGATAAGAGCTTCCAGGTACCAAAGACCTCTGCCTGAACAATGTCTCAAGTCTTGTACCATTTCAGTATCCCTTTAAGAACTATCATACTTCGCATCAAGTAATCCCTTGAAACTACCATACTGAATGGGTCCTTCTTTTAACCACCATTTAAATCCTACTGCTCAGCGACTCTTCAGTGACACCGTCCTCACTTGTCAATGAAGAAATAAGTGAGACACTCCTGGTTTGCCCCTTCCGTGCACAGCAAACAGCTCTGTTCATACTGACGCATCCTTGACCTAAGCCCTGAAACCCTTCTCAACTGTCCTCTGAGTCTCCTTGGAGGCTGTCTCTGCACACATCTACCTAAGATGTCTACCTAAGATCAATGTAGGGCATGGCTTTAGCTTCTAGGAGACCAAAAATGGTTGCAGTTCAGCATGTGCCTTGGTCAGGTTCCCCAGAGAGCAGCAGCAGTAACTGCAGGTGTCCACACTGGTGTGAAATGAAACAGGGACAAAACAGCAACAGTACTGTCAATGATCCCTTTCTCCCATTTTGTCATCTGGACTCCACAGACCTTTCTTCCCTTTCAAACACTGCACTGCCGCATGCTTGGATGCACAAGAAGACAGCTGTGAGCCACTCAGAACATGAAGCAGCATTTAAAACACCAGAGGGGGCGTGGTAATAGGCAGAAGGAGACAAAGAACTGGGTTTCTATGCAGCTTTCTTCACGTGCAAACAACAGACACTTCGCATTTAAAAACTGCCAAGACATCCCTGGTGACTCTAGACTGAAAATACGCAGAACAGATAGGTACAAAGGAACTGATGAGAATGCCAACTGCCACAAAAGGCTCTTGGCCACAGCCTCATGTGCAAAGCCACAGCCCTGTGAGGGAAGCGGGGTCCCTGGCTGGAAGCCGTTGGCCAGGAGCCAACAGGTGTGTACTCCTTTTGCACAGATGCCTCAGTGACCTCACTGGTGCTCCTCAAAGATGGGCTGTGCATCAGCAGCAGGCCTTGAGTGACACTGACAGCACTGCCTGATATACCTACCACATGTGCATCATGTGATACACACAGCAGTGACTACTGTGGCTGATTCCGGGCCCTGCGGTCACCTCTTTCTCGGAACAAACTAAAAAGAAACACTACCACCCAGAGTTTTTCCTATTTAGGGAGAAAAACAGCTTTTTTAAAAAAAGGTATAAAATCTTCAAAGTTGCAGGAAACCCATCCTTGACATACTCAGCATCAGTTATACAAGAAGCCACAGGGAGGAGAGAGACCTGCAGGGATCCTGGTCAAAGTGGTAGGTGGCAGGGTAGATGAATGGTCTTTTCAGTTGCAAAACACCTCCAGGTTAGGGAGAGCAGTGGAGGGTCTTCTGCAGGAAATCTCTCCAAGGTCACTGCCGCTGGGTGGACTAATACCCCACTGGCCAGCTGGACAGGATGCCGTCAACAAGACCCCATGCGAGGTAGGTTTGATGCAGTGAATTTGAACATTTATATAGATCTTTCCTGAAAGGACAAAGACATCCCTCTAACCAGGAAAGATTGGTGGGCCCATGCCCCTGGGAGCATGTAATGTACCCCCTCTCTCTGCACAGTGATGAAAGCCACCGGCAGCCCCACCTGCCCTAATTCTGGGCTGTCTTTCCTCTCAGAGTGGTGCCTCATCCTGATGAGTTTCTCAGCAGCTCTGCCTGGGAAAGGAGGCAAGGACAGGAGCACCCTTGGGGCCCATGAAGCTGTGATGACTACAGACGACTGAGGTGGCGGTACGCTCACCCCTCCACATCGGTGCCTCTAGCTGGGGCTAAATGAGACCAAGTGTATTCTGTTGTTCCATCTTCCACCTGCTCATTCTGCCACCAATCAGTGGTGGCAGGTGCTAAACATGGTCACATGCTTATCCATCTAGGCTCTGGTCTTCCAACCCTGGGCACCCACCTGAGAGATTGCTGACTCTTCTGTCCTGGCTGCCAGTCCTCAGGAAGCTAAGTCACTCCCAATTTGAATCATTCTGCACCAGAATGCCAAGAGAGGCTTTTATTGCCTTTCCAGATACCTTCCAAGAGAACCAGGCTCCACTTCTTCCCATACTTAACACACTGCCCAGAATCATCAGTGTCACATGGCCACCCCAGTCTCCTTCCCACTGACGACACCACAAGTCTAAACAGTCAAGCTCAGGTACTAGCTTGGCCAGGCCAACCACTCCCCCGCAAAACCTCTCTGCCCTGAGTCACGGATCTTGGTCATAGTAGCTGGGACCAACCTCAGATTTTATACAAAAAGCTAGGGACATAGTCAAACCTGAGCATGGGCTGGCTGTTCCCAGGAGACTCCTGAATGTACTGCAGCTTTAGCAGCTCAGCCAGGTATTGGACCACCTTGATGTCCTCATTCACGAGACCCAAGTTCAGCTTCAGGAAGCTCACCTGGCGACTGGCCACCAGTTCCTGGGTCTCCCGGTCATGGGCAGGCAGATGCAGGTGGTGACAAAAGGTATACAGGAAAGCCTTGGAGCAGAGCTGGGTGAGCATGCTCTGGATGTGCATGTAGTAGGTGCTACCCCGCTTGATTTGGGTGCGATGGTCAGCCAGCCTGGGCACAAGGGTGCCTCTGTACAGGGGACAGCGCAGGGTCTTGTTGTCCAGATCCAGGATGCTCGTGTAGCGGCTATAGCGGCTCAGGGCCTGGAGGGTGCCAGCACTGGCAGGGGAGGCCACCCTGAAATAGACAGGCCAAGGTCAGCAGGAAGAGAAGTGCACCAAGACCAAGACAGAGCCCGTGAGCTGAGAGCAGCCTGACTCTAGGCCAGCACTAATGGACTCTCTGGAAAACACACGGAATTACTGTGATCTTCAGATGGCTCTTCCTCACCCTCACGAGGGAGGATTCCTCCAGCCTTGGAGGCCTCATCCATTCCCTTCCTACATGGCCTTGAGTTTTGAGCCATACTAAACTTTCTGCTAAGGAACTCTGGTAGCGTAATGATTACAAATCGGGCTGTGAACCTCAATGTCAGCGGTTTGAAACTACCAGCTGTTCCGTGGGAGAAAGATGAGGCTTTCTTCTCCCGTAAAGATTTACAGACTTGAAAACCCCGTACAGGGTTGCTAACCACCACCACCAAGCTTTCTGCTGGGCCTCAAAATCACTGACCTGTTTGCTCTACCTGGAATATCTTTCTCTGATTTGACACTAGGTTTATACCAGCTGGTCGCTGAGAACTTTTTCCAGCCTTCCCTGACCCCAGTCTCAAATGAACGCTTCTCTTGTGCTCCTATGCTTCACGTTCTCGAACCTCTCAAGAGTCTCATCTATAAGATGGGGGTTACAGTCCCTACTTTGTGGGATTGCTGCTGGGATTAAACCAGTTGTGCTTACAGGAGTGCCTGACCCTTGTTCTTGTACGTGCCACCATATCAGTTCCAACTCACAGTTACTCTGTGCATAAGGTTTCCAGGAGTGGCTGGCAAGTTTGGCCCTTGAAGTTCAAACTGACCTCACAGTCTAGGGCTCATCCTACAGTGCCACACCAGAACTGACCCATTGCTGTTGTTAGGAGCTAACTGCTAGCCACAATTACAATTATTACTGGTCACCTGGCACTTACCAGGGTGGGGACTGCTTATATGTCTCTGCAGTGGACACGACACTTCTTGCAGTGGCCAGCCAGGGCTGGATGTGTCTTGGTCTAACATCCCCATTTTCCAGTGCAGACAAGAAGAAAGGAAGCTTGGTTCCATGAAATCATCAGCCTTAGTAAGTGGCCTCCTCTGGCTCAGTTTTCCAGAACTGGGATTACCCTGTAGTCTGGCAAACTGCTGGCTGACCAGGCTGTGTAGACTAACTAACACACCTCCGAAATCTAAGGCTCGTATTAGACCTAACAGTAACTTGGGGCTAACATTTTTTTCCTTTGAGGTTTTGTTAACCTTCTCACATATTTAATAATCTTTAAAAACCCACTATATACCAGGCAATGACCTGGGAGTTGCAAATGGAATTACAATAAGCCTCGAATTCTGTCCCGAACAAGCTCTATTTAGATGAAAAGAGCAAAGTACACTACCTGATGGGATGGGTGACATGGCCTCCCCAAGAAGAGACCCATGACTGAGAAAACAAGGGGATCATGGAGGAGCTGGCACTGGAACTGGGCCTTGAGAGGGTGGGCTCGGGGAAATGCAGAAGGCACTGAGACCCAGGCAAGAGCCAGTTCCGGGTCCCAGAGGTGGGAAGCACACAGGCTGTGAGTCTGAGTACAAGCAGAGGAGAGCTCTGTTGGTCTCTCTAAAAGTTGTTACTGCCCACAAGTGGGGCTTGGCACCTTTGTCTGTACCAGGCTACATATATACACCATGCATGCGAGCCCTCTCAACAACTCCAGGCAGGGGGTACTGTGAGCTCCACCAACAGAGGCATTGGCAGAACCTGGCAAGGGCAGGAATAAGGTCAGATGACTGGTCCCCATTGCACACAGCTCAGGGACAGCCTCAAGCTGGAACATACATCTTCTTCTGTAACGGACACAGACTATAAGTCATGGATTTTTGGTTTTTCACTGCAATCAACTTTAGCCTTGACTTCCATTGCTTACCTTCCCCTGGGGTTTCTCTGGATTCTACTGGCTGGAGAGCCAAGTAGAAAGCGCAATTCCACTTCTTTTGGTCCCTTAGCGATCCTCAGAGCTGTTCCCCAGGTACCCCGTCTCATCCCCTCCATGCCTTAAAAGGCCGCTCTGGAAGCAGCCATCCCCAATTACTAACATTGGTTTGAGAAGGAGAATTTTAATGGGAGAAATAATCATTCCACCACTTAGAATTCTTTACAAAGATCTCAAATCACTAGGCTCCCCGCTCCCACACCCCGAGTCTTGTTTTTCAGGCTGTTCCCTGAAGTCTAGCTGGTGACAGTGAACACTGCCTGGCCTTTGTGCCACTGCCCCACTTCCTGTCACAGTCTGTCTGTGACCCCCGTTGTACCTAAGGAACCACCTGTCAGTAGGGATTAGATGCAAGAGGTCCTTCAACAAATGTTATCTATCACAAGATAAGCAGGATTAGCCTACAGCAGGGACAGAGCTGTGGCTGTGGCTGACATGAAGGCTCTGCTCTTCCTGTCTCCTGTTATCACAAGTGACTCACCTTATTATTCTGGCACTAATCACAATGGCTGGGACTCAGCAGACCTCAGTAACTATTCAATGACCCAAGTCTGTTACTTCTAACAGGAAACACGAAAGGCTACAGTGCTTGAGCAACTCTCCAAAATGAATGAATTGGTGTTGGAAACAGGACCTGAATGCATCCTCTCTGGGACCCCAGCATCTGCAGGACCTTTGGTAGATCCTCAACAAGTGACTCAAATCTTGATGTGGTGATCTGCTTGCTAAGGTCACACTTGACTCCCCTAGGTAAAACTGAAAGCAGCAAGAGAAAACTGGAAAATTAGAAGACTTCCTGATGGCTGACTAAGGTCTGAAAGAAATCCATTTGACCCTTTTAACATGGAAAGGGCAGACAGAGGTAGAAGGGATTCTGATGATCACCTAGTTTGATATCTTCATTTTACAGACAAGGAGAGAGGAGCTCAGAGAAGGGAAGTGACTTGTCCAGAGTCACAAAATGAGGAAACTGGTACAGCGCATTCTCACACAGAGAATGAGCCCCTTAGCAAGGCTTAACTAGTTGTTATTGTTGTTAAGTACCGTGGAGTCAGTTCCAACTCATAGTGACCCTGCACAGGGTTTCCGAGGCTGTAAATCTTTATGGAAGCATAAGTATTTGCTAAAAATAAAAGGACTCTACTAAAGCAGAAGTGAGTAAGTAGCATGGGAAAATGAAATCTAAAGTGTTCAGAAAGAGTCAGAAGGGCTGGGTTATTGCATTTCCTCCTTCAGACCAACAACTCAGGCAGATACAACTGTGAAGAAAGCCAAAGGATGCCCTGCTATTGCCTATCCTCTAGGGATAGATTAGGATCTTGTGGTCTGGTTAGTCGTTCCCAAAATTTGCTGCACACAGAAAAATCCCATGTATGATCCCTAGCCCAAATGATTTGGAATCTCTGGGTATGGTGGCCAGGAGTATGATTTTTTTAAATTCTCCAAGTAATTCTAACACAGCAGGATTGGGAGTCACTTAAGAACTGCAATCCCCTCCAGAAGCTGAAAGTCAGGGAAGGGGAACAATCTGCCAAGTGACACTGCGAGTTAGTGAATGACACCATCTGGAAGTCACAAGTCCCTGAACCAGGGCCTACCTTACCCAGAAAGATAAGAGCTCAAAGCCTCCCTCACCTCCAATTAGACAGGGCCCTTCCCCACCATGTGTAACCAGTTACCTCTGCAGGCCAATAAGCTTCCACTTCTGGAAATCTGTAATATGTAAAGGAGAGGAGACCCAGTGCTTCACAGGCTTGGCATAGTGGCCAAAGTTAGGTACAAAGATGGACAGCGCTGTCACAAGCTTCCTGACGATGGCCTCATCCTCCCCCAGGACCACAAGTGTCCGTCCACTGAGCAAGGAGTAGATGGCTGGGTGGGCAAAAGGGTACTGGCGGATGAATTTTAAGGCATTCTGGCCAGCCCTCTTCTTATGTCTTTCAGATGAGGTGCCAGTGGCATGAGATGATAAGGAAGTCCTGTTTGAGCTGGTGGAGGCCACACTGCTCATGTAGCTGGTGGAGTCTGAGTAGTTGTCCAGGCTGGTCCTACTGACATCTCGGCTGGCCAGCAAGCAGTGAGGATCCAGTTCATAAGGGGGGAAGCTTTCGGCACTGTTATCTTGGGAAGAAGGGTTGACATTTTCCACTGCAAAGTCCACATGAAAGCCCTGGTCCTTCTGCCTGTAACGTTGTGGGGGGATGCTCACCACTCCATCGTCATCGGAGAGCTTGTGGGCCAGAGCAGGGAGAGGTGCTAGCAAACTGTCACTCTCTTTTCCAATACAGCAGGAGGAGTCAGTGTGTGATGGGGCATTCTCTAAGCTGCCTTCCTCTGCCTCCCCCAGCTCCAGAGGGCTGGTGCTTGCCTGGAAGAGGATGGCTCCCTCATTGTCATCTGCATAAGATTCTTCTTCATTAATAGCACTTGGGTAGCTGGCCTTAAAGTCATCAGGGATGAGAGCCTCAGAGGGGCAGGTGCTGAGGACTTCAATACTGTCCTCACTGATGGTCCTGTGGCTAGCAGCCTTACTCCGCATCACCTGGGGGCTCAGTGGTACTGTGAGGCTGGCTTGGCTGTCAGACTTAGGCAGCACAGAGGTGGGCTTCTCCGTCCCTAGAACTTCAATGCTTTCACCACTGCTGATACTCCCTTTCATATCCATATCCAGGTAGTCCAAGTTCTCCTGGGGGTCAAAACTGCTAACTTCTGTCACCTCCAGTTTCTTGTATTCATTTTCAAGTCTCTGCTCCATCTTGATCAGCACAGACTCTACGCTGGACTTGTAAGAACCAACACTAATTAACACTTTGGGTATCAGACATTCTTCCAGACATCTTGAAGGTGGCCTGTCTTGACTAGGCTCAAGAGATACACTACCTTCTTTCTCTACTACCCTGTCAACAACCTCTGCAAAGTCTTCAAAGAGGAAGTTGGTTATGTGCTGTTGCTTTAGAAGGACTCTGTCAATTTGGCTGGTCAGGAGGTAGCACAGGTCTCCTCTAAACATGTGCTCAATGTGACTGAGCTGAGCCAGCGTCTGGGTAAAATATTCAGTGTCACAGAGCTCTTCCAATGTCTTCAGCTTCTTGTCAAAGCACTTGGTGGACTTTGCTTTGATGAGTTTGGGTGTGTAGTCTGGTCTGCTAGTGTAAATTTCAGCGTCGGCAGACTCATCAGGGTTAATGGTAGTGGATGCCTTACCAGTTTGATTCTGGGTGTGGTCTGCCTCACCAGCACTCAAAGCAGACCCTTTCAACTTCCGATAGGGGTATGAGCGGATCTGCTTCAGCAGGTCTTGATGTTCAATGATGGATTTCTCCACACTAGCTAGCTCATTGGCTTTCTCAATCGCCTGAGATGTGTAAAAGCCTTTGTCGTTGGCTTTCTTCTGGATCTCTGTTTCTCTGTGCAACACTGTCCTGGTGTAATCCAAGTCCTTCAGCTTTTTTTCAAGTTCGCCAGCAAATGCCTTTCTGTTACCTGTCTTCAAGCACTCAGAAGCTTTAGAAAATTCAGCTGATAGCTCCTGGAACTGCTGCATGATTTTGTGCTGGTCTGCTGAGATATAAGCCATGCAAAAAGGCCTCACGAAGCCACGGGCCTCCAGGTCGTAGAGGGTGAGATGGTGCACATATGCAAAGGCTCCCTCCTTGGAGTCACCCAGCACTACCTTAGAGTCTTCCACAAAGTTCAGCTTGGGATAGGCAGAACCAGGAGGATGGCCCACGAAGGATGCCTGGTAATCCACAGACATGATACGCAGGGAGAAATAATTGAGATCAAAAGTGCCAAAAACTTTGGTGTCATTGGGAATGGTCATTAAGGGTTGGGGTCCCACTTGCTCAGAGAACTCGGAAATGAGGATGAAATCCCGTGAGAACTTGGCCCCGGACAGTTTAGACCATGGGTTGGTTCCCTGGCTGGCAAAGGGAAACAGCGGCACCGAGTACTCCTCAGGCAGGGCCGGTTCATTGTAAGGCTCCTCCTGGAACTCGTCCTCTTTGGTGAAGGCCACCACGTCAGGGGCGCTGATCATATTTCCGGATGTGTGGCGAGAACATGGAGAGGGGGTGAAAAAGACTGCTGGGGTAACCAACGCAGAGAAACCGGGCCTCTGGAGAAGGAAGCTACGTCCTTATGGCCTTCTTTGCGCCCTCAGATAGGTATCCTAAATCACCCCTTACACAGTCGAGTACTCAAACTTCCATAATCCCCTCAAAGGTACGGCTCCTCTGGAGCCTTCAGCAACTTCATGGAATCCCAAGGCCTCAGGCCCAGAAAACCGGGGAAGCTGGTAACCCTCCTCCGGGCACAAGGCACCTGCAGCGAGGTTACTCGCACTGTCCTGAATTCACCACGACAGTTACAGCTCGGTCCCGAACGGGTGCCTAACGACAGAGTACGAGCCGCCGCAGGGGTCAGTCGAGCAGTGTTGTCCTTACAGCCTGAGGGCAGAAACCGTTGCGGCTCCTTGGACGCCACAACCAGGTGCCACCTACCGAGGTGCCGCCATCTTGGTGTCACATGACTCGTGGCGTTGGTGCCGCGTAACCCGGAAGTACTTGCATGCACTTCCGAGTAGACGCGGAACCGACTGGGAGTGCGCAGCAGGGAGGTGGGAAGCGGAGTTGCGACATCGTAGGACTAAGCTGATTTGTTGTCAAACCCTGCGGGGAAGTAGTGGAACGAGCGGGTACAGCCGGGCACCTTTATCCCTGGGTTCTGGCGCTCGCCTGATGGGTTAGTGAGGAGGCAGCCGAGACGCGTGTGACTCCCGGAGGTGCTCGGCCTCTCGCTGTGGGCGGCGAGCGGGCCTCTGCGTGTCTCCTCTAGCATGCTCCGGATCCCGGGATGATTTTACTGGCCGCCGGCTTCGTGCGCCGGTGGCTGCCAAGGCTTGGTACCCGAGCCTTGTCCCGCGCCGCCATGGAAGTGGCCTTCCGAGGGGTGCGGAAAGTTCTCTGTGTGGCTGAGAAAAACGACGCGGCCAAGGGCATCGCCGACCTGCTATCCAACAGTCGCATGAGACGGGTAAGAAAGTGCATTTCCGATCAGTTCTGTCCCGGAGCCTGGCTCACCGAAAGGCACGCTGCGGTGGGCCGCCCAGCTCCTCTCGGAATGATGGGCATTTAAAAATGTTGTCAGGATATTTCACATATTTACTTGCAAAGTTTGATCCTCTGCAGCAGTCCCCTAACTTTTCTGCTTCTCAGGGGCACTGTCTAGTCGTCATCATTGGGGCGTTAAAACTAGCGGTCATTCCTCAGAGAACCCACCCTCCCCATTTGGTCACACACGCAGAGGCTTTGGGGGTCCACGTTGAAATCGACTGCTCCTACAGACGCATTCTGGATACAGACACATGAGAGTGTGTTCTAGACACACAGGAGGCTCAAAGAAAAGGGGAGATAAGAAAGGGCTTCACAGAGGAAGGTGGCATGGAGACCTTAATGTCTGACAACAAAAGTAGATCCTGAAATAGTTCTCAAGACTTTTTGAGGGCATGTGGTGAAATTCTTGCCTTTTTTTTCTTCCTTTTTTTCTTTTTGCATCCCAGAATCCCTGGACTGCAGTGTTCAGGGCAAGGATAGTGGGCACATGAACCAAGGTTGTGTGGATGCCAGCTACGAGCTTTACCTTTCTTCAGGGCCTAGCAGCTCGGTGACCAACCCAAGGATGTCTACTTCAAGTTCTCTTGGGCCTGGCCTCGCTACTGCTTACTGACTTATTATCCTTCAGGACTCTGCCTAGACGACTCTGTTTCAACAAACTCTCCTTTTCAAGAAACTGTCCGGGACCTTCTATGGTGTGCTGCTGTGGCATCCCGTTCTACTTGGAAGGCACCTACCCATTTCAGTTAAATACTGTACTGTGCTTTATTTGATTACTTTCACCACTCCTCTTTAGTCTAGGAGTTCCAAAATGCAGAAACTGCCCCCTTTTTTTTTGATGTCCGGTTGAGGAGCTGTAGGATAAGTACTGGACTGCTTACAGCAAGGTTGGCAGTTTTTCTAGGGGTATTTTTGTTTTGGGGTTTGTTTCAGTGTATACCTAGGAATAGAATTACTGGCCACCACAAGGAGCTCTGGTAGCGTAGTGGTTACAAATCGGGCTGCGAACCACACGGTCAGCAGTTTGAAACTACCAGCCGCTCAAAAGGAGAAAGATGAGGCTTTCTGCTCCTATAAAGATTTACAGCCTTGGAAACCCTGTTGAGGGTGGCTATGGGTTGGAACCTACTCGACGGCACTTAACAACAACAACTCATCTGTTGGAGTCCTGGTGTGGCGCTGTGAGCCAATGCGCTAGATTTCAAAGTTGGTTTGAATGTAAGGTTGGTGGTTCCAGCTCACCAGTTGCTCCTCGGAAACTCTTTCCAGGGTCACTATGGGACGAAACTGACTCAACAGCACATAACAACTCATTTGTCACTTTGTCACACTGTGGTGGCTTACATGTTGCTGTGAACCGCCGACCTTGTGGTTCAAGCTGACTTTGCAGTCCCAACGCATTAACTCACAGCACCACACCAGTATTTTAAATGTTAGCAGGGTCACCCATGGTATACAGGTTTCCACAGAACTTCCAGACTAAGACAGGCTAGGAATAAGGAGAGGTGGATCACTTCTGAATGGTTAGCCACTGAACACCTTATGAATAGCAGCAGAACTTTGTCAGATGTAGTGACAGAAGATGAATCCTTCTGGTTGGAAGGCACTCAAAATACGACTGGGGAAGAGCTGCCGCCTTAACGTAGAGTTGATCATAATGCCATGAATGGAGCATAGTTTTCCAGACCTTCATTTGCTGATTGAGGCATAGCTCAAAATGAGAAGCAACACTGTAAATATTCATTAATAATTAGAACATAGAATGTATAAAATATGAATCCAGGAAAATTGAAAGTTGTCAAATATAAAATGGAACACATACAGATCAATATCCTAGGCATTAATGAACTAAAATGGACTGGTATTGGCCATTTTGAATTGGACAGTCAGAGGATTTACTATGCCAGAATGTCAAATTGAAGAGGAATGGCATCACATTCATTGTCAAAAAGACCTGTACATAAATCTATCTTGAAATACAATGCTGTCTACGATTGGATAATATCCATATTTTTTCCTGATACGGTGTTTTAGGATCAGCACTTGATCTCAAGGTCAGTTTGAACCACAAGGTTGACAGTTCAAACTTTACCAGCTACTGCTCTGTAACCCTACACAAGGTCACTTTGAGTTGGAACTGACTTGATGACACTTAACAAAAACAACAACATAGTACCACTATTACACAAATTTATCCACCAACTACTAAAACCAGTAATGATGAAACTGAAGAATTCTACCAACTTCTGTGGTCTGAAATTGAGCAAACATATAATCAAGATGCATTGGTAATTACAGGTGATTAGAATGTGAAAGCTGGAAACAGGATTAGTATTGGAATACATAGCCTTGGTGGCTGTGGCTGTGTGCCGTGGAGTCGGTTCCGACTCATAGCGACCCTGTACAGGGTTTCCGAGGCTGTAAATCTTTACGGGAGCAGAACGCCTCATCTTTCTCCCGCGGAACAGCTGGTAGTTTTGAACTTGGATAATAGAAAATTTTATGCTTGAGATCACAATAGAATTTTGCAACAACTTATTCATTGCAAATATCTTTTGAAACAATGTAAAAGACAACTTTATACTTGGACCTCATTAGATGGAATACACAGTAATCAGACTGACTGTGGGAAAAGTCAGTGGAGAAGCTGAATATCATCAGCCAGAGCAAGGCCAGGAACAGACTGTGTAACAGATCATCAATTGCTCATATGCAATTTTAGACTGGGCTTCTTACTAAGTGGATGATGGCAAACTATGGATAACATTGCAAAGAATGGGTATTCCAGAGCATTTCGTTGAACTTACAAGGAACTGGTGTGGCGTTGTGAGTTAATACCCTGGATTGCAAAGTTGGTTTGAACCACAAGATTGGTGGTTTAAGCTCACCATTTTCTCCTTGGAAACCGCTATGGGTTTGAACCAACTTGACAGCACGTAACAACAACATACAGAGACTACGAGGCAGTTGTTAGAATAGAACAAGATGATACTGAATAGTTTAAAATTCAAAATAGTTTAAAATGGTGTGCCTCAGGGTTGTATCCTTTCACCATACTTATTCAATCTGTATGCTGAGCAAATAATCTGAGAAGCTGGATTATATGAAGAAGAACGTGGCATCAGGATAAGAGAAAGACTCATTAACAACCTGCAATATGCAGATGATACAGCCTTGCTTGCTGAAATCGAAGAGGGCTTAAAATACTGATGAAGATTAGAGAGCAGAGAGCCTTCAGGATGGAGGCTGCACCTCAAAGTAAAGAAAACAAAAATCTTCACAATTGTACAAATAAATAACATAATGATAAACATAGAAAAGATTGAAGTTGTCAAAGACTTCATTTTTCTTGGATCCACAATCAATACTCGTGAAAAGAAGTTTGCCAGACCACATGAAGATTACCTAGGAGAAGAAGCGTAAAGAGATAAGGACGCTCTTCCTAAGCCAAAAGAGAGAGAAAACCTTCCCTTACTGCAACACCTTGAGTTTGGATTTCCAGTCTGCTGTTGTAGGCTGGGACTGTGTTCTCTAGAGAAGCCAAGCCAGTGAAGCATATATATAGATAGATTGCTTGCTTTATCCCGAAGAAATGGTTCTCAAAGTTATCGAGTCTGGCAGTCCCAAGTTCCTGGGTCAGGCCCGAACCTTCTCCTAACTCAGGTCCCTGCACCAAACCAAAACTCACTATCATCTAGTAGATTCCAACTCATAGCAATCTTGTAGGACAGAATAGAATTGCTCCTTAAGGCTTCTGAGACTGTGAATCTTTGTGGAAGCAGACAGGCTCATCTTTCTCCCACGGAACAGTTAGCGGATTTAAACGACTGACCTTATGGTTAGCAGCCCAATGCTTACCCCACACGCCACTAGTGCTCCATAGTAATTACTGTCCAAAACCAAATCCTGTCCAGGGGCCACTAAGAATCATTGCCCAGCCAAGTTGATCTGAAACCAAAACTAGGAAAATCAGTTTGTTAGTTAAAGCCACCCATTTGTGGTATTTTCTGTCATAGCAGCACTAGAAAGCTAAGATAATTAGAAATAACAAATGCAAATTGTAGACTGAATTGTACCTCCTTCTGATAGATTGTTATGCTTCAGTTATCGGAAAAGACCTTTTAAGATAAATGACAATGCCAGGTGCTGTTGTTGATTCTGACTTTTAACGATTCTGTATGTTCAGTCCTGTGCCATCTTCACGGTCATTCTCTGCCTGATCCCATTGTTGGAGCACTCTGTCAGTTGTCTTCTTGGGGGTCTTCCTCCTTTGTGCTGACACTTCACTTTTCCAAGCATGATGTTTTTTTCCAAGGACTTGATAACAGGTCCGAAGTATATGAGAAGCCTTACCAGTGTTGCTTCTAAGGGGCATTCCAGCTGTACTTCTTCCTGGGCAGACTGTTCATTCCTTTGGCAGTCTATAGTACTCCGTGCTGAAGTGTAATCCGTACTGAAAGCTGTAGTCTTTGATCCGCATCAGTAAGTGCTTCACGTCCTCTTTACTTGCAAAAGCAAGGTTGTGTCATTGATCTACAACAGGTTATTAATGAACCTTTCTCCAATCTGAATCCTGCATTCTTTCTGTATCATATATTTGAGGATAAGTCAAAAAGTATTGCTACAGAGTCAGAACTCTTTATTTAACAAAACTACCAAAGGAGTAGTGTAGTGGTTACAAATCGGGCTGCAAACCTCAAGGTTACCAATTCAAAACTACCAGCTGTTCCATGGGAGAAAAATGAGGCTTCCTACTCCTGTAAAGATTTACAGCCTCGATTTACAGCCTCAGAAAGCCTGTACAGGGTCACTATGAGTCGGAACCGACTCCACGGCATACCACCACCAAAATGTGAATTTCTGCCGCCAGGTCCCACTGGCTCTGCTACTGGGCCCCTTCCAGGCCTCTCACCATCTTCA